CTCTCTGTAGCACCCTGGCCAGAGTCCCTGGCTCGTCTCCTGCCCTGGAAACAAGCCAAATAATGGCCAATGCAGAATCCCAGCCCATCACCCTTGGGAGCTGCTACCCTCAGCGGAATGGGGGCAAGGCTTTGGGCAGAGAGGGGGCTCAGAAGATTTGTTTTGACAGTTATTGTCCATCTCCAGGACCAACCATTCTGGCTTTAGAAATGAGGACAGGGGAGATAATAAAATGAAAGCCCTCTTCTTTCTCTGATGGCTGCAGTTAGAAAGTTGTTTTCTGTTGTTTCAACAAGTGGGCTGGAGGACACACCTGTGATGTTGACGGTCATTGACCGGACTTGAAACAGACTCGCTCCCTTTTTTCTCCCTTCCCCCTTCTCTTCAGAGACTCTGCTCATAGGAGGATTTGTGAGACAAACTGTGGGTTTACAAACGTCAGGAACGGCAGCTCAGCCGTCCCCGTGTCTGCGCTGCTGCAGTCCCTGTGCGGGACTCTGCGCGAGGAGGTGGAGCGTCTGGGTCGCTGCTCTTCCCACAACGTGAGCCTTTTCCTGTTACCATAAAGGCAGTTTGTTACAGATTTTGAACCTGCTGCCTCCTCCCTTCCTTTACAACATGCATATTCATCCCTCCTGGCATTACTGCTGAAAGGATGCAAACGTCCTTGTCTGAGCATCATTCGCAAGCCTCCTGCCCATCTGTGAATTATTCCCTGACTCTTCCATCAGGGCAGGGTTACAGGTCCTCTGCCGGCAGGAGGGAGCTCTCCAACAAAATCTAAAGACCCAGAATCTTTCGGAAGCTGTGACAAGCAGACTAGGAAGCCACAAAACATTGTGAGCTGAACGGATGTCTTAATAAGCTTTTAGATGTGCCTTGGCCAGTGTTGGCAGAGGAAGCTCAAGGGGAAAGGCAGCAAGCATTGTGAGCTAAATCACTGCAGACCCACTGGGCGTGACAGCCCTAGGAAGCTAATGATCTCAACGGGAAAGAAGTGACTGCAGTTATCCAGCCACAGAACACGCAGTAGGACGGGAGGACAGACCCCCGGATGTGAGTACAATCTCTCTTTCATGCAGGGTTTGGAGCAGTAGGAGCAAAGTGAGTTCTTGTAACTGATGGCTTTCCCTAAGGACCGGTGCCCGGTGCCCGGTGCCCGGGTGCCTGTGGATCGTCTCTGGGGAGGTTGTACATAATGCTTGCCTGGGACTTTTGTTTGCAGGTCTCTTCTCGTATATTTTGCCTGAATCCAGTGTCTTTGGGATACTGGGAACAGGAGACTTTGTTGTAAATCCTCAAGAAAACAGAAAAGCAAACCTCCGAGACCTTTTGCTATAAAAAGAAAACAGATCACATCACAGACCAAACAGCTGTGGGGCCCTCTGGCATTTGTGATGGGAGACAAAAGAGTCGGCAAATTGGAGAGCAGTGAAAACAGGGCAGTGGGCTGAGAGGAAGGAGGGAAATCTTTATTGGAAGCGAAATCCCTTTCTGGACTCAGGAAACTCATTGCATATTTATGATCATGCATCTATTTGATTTCTGCTTAAGGAACTGGCGGCATGTTGCCATTGAGGTTTTTCTCCAGAACACTGTGAAAATGAGCATCGTGACAAAGAGGCATGTGATTGACAGAGTTGGGCAGAAAAAATTCCTCACTGTCAGCAGGGGAAGTGTCTTGAATGATAGCTGATTCACTTGGAAGAGGAGGCTCAGATTTAAGGAGGGAACGGGGCTGCTATAGCCTGAGTACCCAACAGGTTGGCGGGGAAGTTTAACTAGTTGATTATAACTGGTTACCACTCCACGCTTCCTCTCCTCTCCCCACTCGTGGTTGGGGGGTCTTTCGTTCCCCTTATTCCCTGTCCCACAGCCTGCCTCTGCCTGGCCTGATTTGTCACTTCAAGGTATCCAATGAGAAGCTGAGTAGATCCTCACTTTTGAAGGATAGGGATCATTGTTCTGTAGGGCAGTGATCATGAGAGACGTGGGGAGGAAGCCGGGCTGGGCCTGCACCCCCCTCCACAGCTAGTGTTAGAGGAGGAAACAGAAAGGAAGTAGAAAAGAAGTCTCAGCCACTTTCATTTCTCCCCACCCACCCTGCAAATACAAGTGCAAGTGAATGCTGGAGGCCCTAGGAATAAGGCTATTACTGGATTTGAGAATGAACTTGAGATACCCAAATACATGGGGATGGTGCTAGCAACAGGCCAGGAACTGGAAACCTGGGATTCTGTTCCAGATTTTGCAGGCTGTTGCCTGTATCCAAAATAGTGACCTATCCTGGAGGCTGCCCTGTGCCTCAGGTGAGTCTTGCTGGAGGAGAGGTTGGGGGGGGTGTGAGAAGAGTGGGAACATTTCATTATTCAGTAGCTGTCACTGAAAAGCAAAAATACCACATTTCTGCTTGGCCAAGATTTTCTCACAAATATCGTGTTTTTCTGTCTCAAAAATAATTATCATGTGCGCTGGATTTGCACAGGGCTGTTTACCAAAGGTAATTATGTAAGCAAGGCTGACTCGGTAGCTTGCAACCATGGCAAAAACTGTAACTGTGCTTCCATCTGAGTGTCTGAGAGGCTGAATTTATTGCATGGGACAGGAGGGTGGGAGGGAGTGGCTGGCGGTGGTGTTGACCCTGTGCATCTGTTGCCGGGGAGACCAGACAGCATTTCTAGTCTGTAGCTTGTGACCTTAGCAGCTAAGGCTTAGCTGATGGCATGCACTGAGGTTGCAGCAAGCTCTCTATCCCCAGGAGCCAAGCTGTGGAGTGGAATGAGTAAAATTTTAGTCATGATAATATTTGTATGAACCAGGATATTGTACTTGAGACATTTGCAGGCCCATTGCAAGAAAGGTTTGGGAATGGGGAATGTGGGAGAGGAGAGGTGGCAGTTTGGGTCCAGTGCACAGAAATAACAGTTGAGTAGATGGAGAAGAATGTGGTTGTGGGAGGGAGATCATTCAAGAAGCCATAGCTAATATTCTATATTTTCCTGCCATTTGGGCCTGGAGTGCTTTTTCAGTGTTGGGGCAGGCAGAGCAGAAGCTCAGTATAATTGGTTTGAAGGTACCACAGATTCCCTGAATAAAGAGAGGCGATGTGTCCTATGTTTACAAATACAAACCACTTCCAAACAGTGATGCAGTCTGGCAAACATACGAATCCTGGGAATTTCCAAAAGCATTTCCAGCTCATTTCTCTCTCTTTTGAGTCTCAACTTTATTCTTTCACTGACTCATTCATTCAACAAAGACTTCTGACAGATGCCAGGGTCTCTGGCTCTGGCTAAGGGTGGCGTCTCTGCCTTGGCGCGTACCCTTGTCCAGGCGTCTTGTGCCTGGTGACCAGAGCAGGATTTGTGAAGGTTCCTTCTCTCTGTTTCCTTTCGAGTCTTTACCTCATTTTGGGTATTTTGGATGACGAGGTGAAATTTGGTAATTCACAAGTTGGGGGGAGAGAAGAATTCTTTCTGAAGTTAAAATATTCACATTTGGCCAATACAGTCACATAATAAAATACCATCCTTAAGTCCTGCGGTTATGTCTGTGTTATATCTGAGCCTTTGGCCCCAGCCTCCCAGAGTGGTTGGGGAGATGGCCTGCCCGGATGTCACGGTGAGCGGGAGGTACAGCGTGGTACAGTCCAGAACTTTCCCGGTCACATTTTGGCCAATTCCTTAATCTTTAGAGATTGAAAGGAGCAGTGGATTTGCCTGGAAGCAACTGTAAAAGATGTCTGTGGGGCCTGGGATGAAGAATGGGTGGTGTCCCTCTGATATAGCATTTTCTTTCCTTTTGCATATATTGGTATTTTTAATAAGTATGTTTTAAAACGGAAAGAAGCCCTCACTTCCTTGCCGTCCTTGCTGTGGATCAGATCCTTAAGCATTTCTTCTTGTGCCGGAAGAACCCTTCGCCTTTGAAGTCATTACCGCTGCCTTTGGTTTAGTGTCGTGGTGTGTGGTGGCCCAGGGCTACAGGGAGGAGTCCGTCTTTAACCTTCTATTCACTTGTCCATTTGGTGGAAAGTAGAGCTTAAGTTTACTACTAGTTAATGCCTCCAGACCTCTGCTCTGAGTGGCCTAGAGGTGGTTTTCGTAGGCCATTCATTTCCCCCTGGTTAAGCTGGGAAGCCGCTCTTGGCGCAGTGGGCAGTGCCCTGTCAGTGTGTCTAGCATCCCTGATGTTTCTGAGGCAGGTTGTTCCAGCAGCAATTGGACCCGGGAGATGGCCCGGGCCTGTGCCCAGCTCTCCATCTGTTCCAGAACTCAGGAAACTGCATGATTTGCAGTGAGAAAAGGATGAAGACAATGACAGTATATGCTGGGGGGAAATCCCAGGGAGAGAACCTACTCCTCCGGGTCTTTGGGGTGTGCTCCATGGGAACCTAACCTGCCAGGGGAATTGGCATGTTAGCTGTGGCCCAGAAAGCCCTTTATGGGCCTACATAGCACAGTTACCTGCCCAAGGTGGGTCTGGAAGCCAGGTGATGTGTAGGGGATTCTATCAGGCCTCTGCCGGCCCTCACAGAAATGCAAAGCAGACCTCAAAGTTCTGGCCATAGTCCTCTGACGAATCCAGAGTCCCCTGTGAGGGTAGAAAGGAGGGAAGGTGGCACTTCTAAGGTCAGGTGCTTTGCTATGCCGTGTGTTCTTCTTGCTGTCCTCTCTCCCCCAGCTCCCCTCCCTGCCATGAGCAATCAGCACATGCCCGTCCTGTGTGCTGAGTGGCACTGATGGCAGCTTTGTTTTGTAACCCGTAGGTCCTGAAGATGGCATAGTAATAGAGCCACCTTCCAATGATCGGGAGCATCTGTCCCCGCGGGTGCCGGCCCAGGCCAGTGACGTCGTGCGGAGCTGAAGGGACGTGTCTACCTCTATCTGGGAACCTCTTTCTCTGCTAATTCATGAGCCAGCAGGATGCTGTCGCTGCGCTTTCAGAACGCCTTCTCATAGCCGCATACAAAGGCCAAGCGGAGAATGTGGTTCAGCTCATCAACAAGGGCGCCAAGGTAGCAGTTACCAAGGTAACAAGAGGGGAGGAAAATGCTTTAGCCATCCTTGGGGAAAAGCCTCCCTCTTAACCATTGTCCACAAAACTGTCCTGTTGGGCTCGCAGCTTTCAAAGAATTGGCTCCGTCCCCTCCCCCAGTGATGGAGGTTTGGACAGAAGGAAGGAGGATTAAAAATGCTTTCATTGTGATCTTTCAAATGGAGTAACTTGTAATTAGCATTTGACAATCTTTAAAGTCACAGCATGGCTTTTTCTCACCTACTTCTTCAGCCACAAGGACAGGAGAGCTCTCTGGAGAAGTCGGGACACAAAAGCTTATAGGGTAGAGTATTTGTTTGATAATCACATTAGATAGGCCTCCTGGGGAGGTGGACTCTGCTATGCAGAACCTCATCCCCATCTGCACCAAGACAGACTCGGACCAGATGACCACAGCAGCCTCTTTGAGCTTTAATTTCATGTGAGTCAGTGAGAATGTGTGGTAAGTGTTGGAGGACATTGCTCAACCCTCACCAACAGATACCCCCCGGGTGGTCAGGAGAACATAATGGGCCCAAGGGCAGTTTTGTTGCAAAGCTGAGCAGAGGCAGGTTCTGCACAGTTCAATGACAGTTTAAGTACATAGACAAAATAAGCACTTCACAGTCCTCTAGAAGAGGTTCTCTTTTCATCTCCACTTTAGAGATGAGGAAACTGAGGCACAGAGGGATTTAAGTAACTTGCCCTGGGGCCCTCAGCTGCTGAGTGGCAGAACTGCAACTTGTACCCACGGAGTCTGGCTCCAGGGCCCACCCTCCAGGCCACCCCGGGGGAGCTGTGGAGAGAGGCAAAGTTTAATTTTCAAATAGTAACATCTGCTAACTTCTGGCCTCCTGTGGCAAAGCTTGGCCAGCTCACATTTTTAGTGATTCATACCTAGTCTCTGTATTTCATGCTTCCCATGTGTGCTGTTAGCAGCAATTCCAAGCAGTAACTTAATGCTGGCACTGTCTGCTAGGAGACAGCATCAGGTCTCCCGGGGAAGGGCTCAGTCCCACCCCTTCACATGCCAGTGGCAAGTCCAGGTTGTCACCTTTGCTTCTGACCAGCTGGCTGTCCATCGGAGGTTCCCATGACCCACTCCCTAGATTAGAGTAATTTGCTGGAGCAGCTCTCAGAACTCATTTTACTTACCAGATTGCCAGTTTATTTTAAAGGGATTTAACTCAGGAACAGCCAGATGGAAGAGATACACAGGGCAAGGTATAGGAAAGGGCACAGAGCTTCCATGATCTCTGAGTATGCCACCCTCCAGCACCTCCCTGTGTTCACCACCCCAGACGTTCTCTGTCCTCTGGGTTTTTATGGAGGCTTCCTTCATAGACATGATTGCCTAAACCAGTGGTTCTCAACCTTCTGGCCCCTTAAATACAGTTCCTCATGTTGTGACCCAACCATACAGTTATTTTCGTTGCTACTTCATAACTGTAATGTTGCTACTGTTATGAATCGTAATGTAAATATCTGATATGCAGGATGGTCTTAGGCGACCCCTGTGAAAGGGTCGTTCGACCGCCAAAGGGGTCGCGACCCACAGGTGGAGAACCACTGGCTAAACGATTGGCCATTGGTGAATGGGTCAGCCTCCAGCCTCTCTCCCCTCTCTGGAAATGAAAGTCCAAATCCTCTAACGCTGGTTGGTTTCCCTGGCAACCAGCCCTCATCCTTTGGGGCTTTCCAAGTTACCTCATTCTCATAGATGCAGGTGTGGTTGAAAGGGGTTTGTTGTGAATAACACACTCCTTTCACCTTTTTATTTTTTGGCTTTGGAGCTGTTTCAAGAACTGATGACAACAGACCAGCTATTATAATAAAAGATGCTCCTATTGCTCTTATCACTTAGGAGATTCCAAGTGTTTGGGGAGCTATAAGCCAGGAATGGAGACTAAGAGCCAATATGTGTTTCTGTAAATCACAGTATCACGATGCTGGTTCTAGAGAGAGAGAGAGAGAGTCGTGGCCTCTCAAAGGTCCCCTATTGGCTTGTCATCACTCTACACATATGTGGCGACTAGGTTGCTAGCTGTGTGGAATTGAGGGTGAAGGGTGTCATCTACCCATGGTGCTTCAGGGCCCAGCCAGTCACAAATGGGAGAAGGGGCATGGACTCCCTAATGGAGGGCTCATGCTCACACATTTTAACTCTGCTGTGTTTGCTAATTGTACAAATTGCTTAACTTCTTTGAGCCTCAGGTTCCTTATCTGTAAAAAAGGGATATCAATACCAACCTTTCAGGGTTGTTATAATAATCACATTAAAGCACATAGTTCATAGTCTGCAAGTTTCCTTTTTAAAATAGACTTCATCATTTGCTTTTTTTAAAAAGTTTTAAAAAACAGTTTTATTGGGGTATAATTTAACATGGAAAAAAATTCACCCATTTTTAGTGTACAATTTAGTGGTTTCTAATGTCTTTACAGAGTTGCACAATCATCACCATGTTCTAATTTTAGAACATTCTATCACCCCAGGAAGAAATTTCGTATTATTTAGCTGTCATTTCCCATTCCTACTCCCAGTTCCTGGCAACCATTAATCTACTTTCTGTCTGTATAAATTGTCCTTTACTGGACGTTTCATATAAATGGAATCATACATTGTGTGGTCTTCTGTGGCTGGCTTTTTCAATTGACCTAATGTTTTCTTGGTTCATTGTATTGTAGCATCAGCATTTTATTCTCTTTTACTACAGAACAATATCCCACTCCATGGATATGGCACATTTTGCTTATCCCATCATTGGTTAATGGATATTTTGGGTTGTTTCCAGTGTGAAACTATTATGAACAATACTGCTATGAACATTTCTGTACAGTTTTTGTGTAGATATGTTTTCATTTCTCTGGATAAATACCTAGGAGTGGAATTGTTGGGTCCCGCGGTAAATCTATGTTCAACATTTTAAGGAACGGCCAAGCTGTATTCCAGAATGGTTACCCAATTTCACATTCCCATTAGCAATGTATGAGGGTGCCAGTTTCTCTATATCTTCACCATTGCTTGTTATTGACTATCTTTTTTTAAACATAATTTGCTTTTTAATAGTTTTGTTTTTAATCAAAGTAATGCTTGCACATAGGAGCTTTAAAAGTGTAAGTTCAACCCGGCTGGCATGGCTCAGTGGTTGAGTGTCAGCCTATGAACCAGGAGGTCATGGTTCAATCCCGTCAGGGCACATGCCTGGGGTTTCAAGCTCAATTTCAGTAGAGGGTGTGCAGGAGGCAGCCAATCAATGATTCTTTCTCATCATTGATGTTTCTATCTCTCCCTTCCTCTCTGAAATCAATAAAAAAATATATTTTTTAAACAGTAAGTTCAAATACTGCTAGAGGAGCCTGGGGTCCCACCCAGAGCAGGGAGACTTGTCATCTCAGTTCAGGCCAAAGCCCACAGGAGGGGCGTGACTTGATAAAAAAAAAGCAACTCTGGAGCCCACCTCTGTGAGGAAACCAGCCTCAAGGTCCACCTGTCCCCACTGATCTGTGGATTTCTGTATTTGAAAAGATGTGATACCAAATTCAAAGAAGGAAACAAGAAATAATAAAAACTAGTACAAAAATGAGTGAAATAGGAAATAGAAAAAAGATACAGAAAAATCAATGAAACCGAAAGTGGGGTCTATGGAAAAAGTGACAAAATAGACAAGTCTTGAGCTAGATTGATCTGGAGACCAAGGGCCTACTGACAGCTGTCTGGGGATCTCACTTTACTCGTATCCTAGCAATTCCCCTTGCCACTTTTATATATGTTGGTTTTCTGTTTTCTGGATTCCACTGTCTTTCTCTTCCTTGGTTTACTCCCTTGTTTTGATGTAGTACACCTCTAGTACAGTGCTGTCCTATATCTGTACTGTCTGATACGGTAGCAACTCACGGCTATTGAATACTTGAAATGTGGCTAGTGTGACTGAGGAATTGAATTTTAAATTTAACTTTAATTAAAATTTAAATGCCACATGTGGGTGTTGGCTACCATATTGTATAGCACAGCCCCCTATATCTTCCTGAAAAATGATTGTATGGGAGAAATCAATTAGTACTAGACTCAATCTATTGCCCCTTTCTCTCCCACATTCTCTGAATCCAGTTGTGTCACAATTTTGAACAGATTCGTAATTAGTGTGATTATGTAAATGCTATTCATTGGTGAGCCAGTAAGTATACTATAATTACATCTTCATTCTTTTATAACTTGCTGTTTTCCCTAGAGTTGATCATTTTTGCTGGAACCCATGTCACCCATCACTTGGGTAGCTCATATTCCCTGAGCTTCCTAAGAAAAAGAACATAGGAGAGAAATAGTTTGAGACTCTGTATGTCTGGAAAAAAGTCTTTATTCTACCCACTCACTTAATTGACAATTTTGCTTCAGAACTTTGAAGGCAATGTTTTATTGTCTTTGAGCTGATAGTGTTGCTGTTGGAAAACTCTGCCCTTTTAAGGCCTGCCCATTCAGAACCCAGCTCAGGAACCACCACCACCAGGAAGTCCATCCAGAGAACAGTACTACATGGAACTCACTGTCCTCTCAACTGATGAAACACTTGCTGTTTATTTGCTCTGTGTCTCTCATAATTTGAGTGCTCTGAGGGTGCTCTGAACTCCCAAGCAGGCCACCACTCTGACAAGGGTCGGAGTTTCTCTCTTATATTTCTCAGTGTTTGACACAGAAGAAAAGCACTGGAATTTGGAATCCAAAGACCTAGGTCAAGTGCCTGCTCCACTGCTTATTAACTACTTGTTGACGTAGGCCAGGGTTTCTCAACTTCTGCACAATTGACATTTTGGGCCAGATAATTCTTTGCTGTGGGCGGTTGTCCTATGTATTGCAGGATGTTTAGTAGTACCTCTGCCCTCTACCTATTAGATGCCTGCAATACTCCCTCCTCCCTAGTCATTACAACCAAAAAATGTCTCCAGACATTGTCAAACGTTCCCCTCCAGGAGGCGGCAGCATTATCACCCCAGCTGAGA